CATTATATATCTGTCTATATGTCAGTTTTATTTATTAAACTATTGACAGACATGCTGATATTTTTCAGTTTTTGCATATTAAAAAAAATCTATAAAGAAAATTTCTGTAGAATACCAACTTAAAAAAAAACTAAAGGAAGAATTCCAAACAGAAAGAGAATGGTGCTCCCCAAAACTTAAAACTATAGAAAGACAAAAAAATATATATATATAGAAATGAGTAAAAATGGAGATGTATAATCTACATTATTTATTTCATTTTAATTTTTTATCTTATGCATTCTTTGTGAGTTTCTTAAATCACAGTTGACAGATAACCAAGAAAAGAGTCCTTAAAATTCCATTTCATGTCTCATGAGGAAGAACACATACGGTCACTCCTGGTGATTTTGGTTATATTTCCTCTGGTCAACTCCAATTCATAGCTACTTTGTATCATGTTTCTGAGACTGTAAGTCTTTATGCAAGTAGAAAACTTAATTTTTCTCCCATGGAGTGGCTGATAGATTTAAACTGCTGATCTTGCTTTTAGTAGCCAAACTTGTAGGCCACTATGCTACTAGGGCTACTTATAAACACACCAAAGGTCAAAAAAATCCCTCTAATTTGAGATGAAAAGTAATCATAAAAGCACCTCAAAAGAATATGGAACAACATCAGAGGAAAATTATAAATGGTTTAGATGAAAACACTAAACATCTAGAAAGCCTTAAACCATTTGTCCAAGATTCTAAATGGAAGGAAACAGTGAAAGAAGAAAAGAAACAGAAGAAAATGTTTGAGAACTTCAACACATAAAAGGAAGAGGTTGTAACTAATAAAAGCAAATAATTATATCTGCATGACACTATGGTGAGGATTATAAACTTATCAGATCTCTCTAAACAAGATAACAGGGAAAATGGTAGCCTGTAATTAGCCAATAAAGATTGAATCAGCAAATGAACAATATTATAAAACAACTAGATTTAACAGATTTATCTAGCACACTCTACCCAACGGTAGAACAATATATACTTTATTCCAGTGCATGTGAGTCATTGTCTGTATAGCCTACATTTTTGTTAAGTACTGTGGTGTTGGTTCCAACTCATAGTGACCCATTATAGGAAGTGTCCCACTTCCTATAATGGGTCACTATTATTTCCAAGGAGGGTCTGCAGTGTTTGAACCACTGACCTTGTGGTCCAGGGCTCACCTTACATCACCGAAACAGGATTCCAATAGACTACATATTAGGTCATAAATCAAGCCTTAACAAATTTTAAAATATTGAAATAATCCAAAGAAAATTCTGTGACCAAAGTGGAGTAACACTAGAACAATAAGAAAAAGGAAACTGGAAAATACACAAATTGAAAATAAAGGCCACATTATTAAACTACCAATGGATAAAGGAAGAAATAAAAAAGAGAAATTAGAAAAGACTTATTGTCAAATGGAAATGAAAACACACTATAACAAATTTTATGGACTGCAGGAAAGGTAGTATCCACAGGAAACTTGATAGCCTCCCTACAAGAGAAAAATACAATGTCAAATTAATGGCCAAACTACGGAGTCCTGGTGTGGTGTTATATGCAATTACGCTGGACTACAAAGTTTGAACAGTAAGATAGGCAGTTCAAACTCACC